GTTCGAAGACTTCTCCCATCGTCGAGAGGAAGCTCCAGGTACCCCGCTCCTACGTCTATCTGGCGAGTATTTTGACTGGTAAACTGCCTCTCACCATGTTTATTTGCTGGAGTGGCCTCTCCAGGGGCTGGTGTGGATTGATGAAGGAAGCCAGGAGGTGCCCAGGCAGCTGGCTTTCTGAGACTGCTTTGTCTGACCTCTACCCGTTGGTCTTTCAGGCATGACTAGATCTACAGCTGTGAAAAGCCGTCATGTGTAGCTCGCAGGGTCATGGAGTCACGCAAGCCATCACACCACGTCAAGGTGCAGTCTCGTTGTGACGGCCTAAGGGTACAAGATACAAAGAAGCCTTAGGTCTCTGATCTGTGGTGTTTACATCACATCTTGAAAGTAAATTACAGAAATGGGGTTTTCAAAGATGAGGTTCGACGGCGCTGCTCGAAAATGCTACAACGCTGGCGCCTTCAGTGATTTGACCATGTGCTTCAAAGGCCCGACACTCAACTCTCGCGACAGGCTGTAGCCCGCGCACCTTAACGTGGATGGTGTTGCCGACTCGGTGGTTAACTGAAGACCTGGAGCATGGCGATCAAGGCGGAGTTGGAATTAGTGGGCCTCCAATCCGTATATGGAATTCATTACGAGTTAGAACTGGGTCTCACATTGCGTCAATCTTGCTGGCGATCGACATTCATGGACCGCCATCATCAGAGATATCCAATAAGCCGACTTATCTTCCTGCAGGAACTAGTCGATAAAAAAATGATGAATGTTATCCTGCAAAAATCGTTACTTAACGTTACAAACTATGGAGATACAGCTGTAAACCTGGAGTATACTGATGTTGCCTTACTCGATGATACTAAACCGGTGATGCAAGACTCACCGAACCACTGGACAATCGAGTTTGAGCGATGTGGTGTGTGCTTTGTACCAGAAAAGTACAGGCTTCTACTGTAAGATTGATAGGAACCTGTCCTGCATTTTGTTTCCAAATTACACCCGATATAGGCATTCCCAGGATAAAACATCAAGTCCTCATGAGCGTGGCATCTAGTTGTCCTACATTCTATTACCCTCTGAAACTGAATCTACCTAATATATAGACGCGAGTTTCCATAGCGTGTGCTTGGATCCGCTTCCAACCTTTCGGATATCTTTGTTGTAATTTAATTTGGGTTGATTTCATCGCTGTCGCTGGAGTGCTTTGGATCCTACGGTTCGAGGTTGAAACCACGCCACTGTCACCCAACTTTGGGGCTAGGCAGCTTTGCTGTCGCCTGTATCAATACCCCGCCTAATCTAAGGAGGATTTGTGTGGTTCGCCATTCCAAGTCCCGGGGCTTAGGTTCCCGGTTTCCACTACTGAACAGCAGTTATTGGCTACTATGGGGTCCACCCCGTCTGCTATTCGTCACTCACGAAAAAATGTGTAATTAGAAAATTATATACTTCTGATAATAACGATCCGATTGATTACTGCATCTTTTATTTAGGAGATCTGATAATTATAGATCGTACTGCCATTTTTCACAACTCTACTGTGGCTCCTATTGTTTATGGAGTTCACTCGTTTTTCGACCTGCTATGTAGTGTCATGCGATAAAAAGATGCCCATCAGAATACATCATTTCCATTTCTCTTGAATTTTTCTATTGCTCTATCCTTACAGTCCCGGACGCTATACCAGCCACGATCAAACCAGAACCGGACAGTCAACCTGGAGGGGAAAAGCGGCGTCGTTCGCGTTGGGATGACTCTGTAGCAAAGCCTGATTTGTCTGAGCCGGTTAAGCAGAGCTCTATGGACCGAACAAATGCCATTGCGGCTGCGATCGCTGCAGCCCGAGCAGCAGCTGCAGCGGCTGGAATAAAAGGCGGTAAGCATTTCACACAAAAAAATTCATCACTAATGTTTCTGATGGGCTTACATAATTTGAACAGCGTTCGCCTTTGTTCTCACGCCATACGAGGTCGTTAGATAATTCCTGTGAAACAGAGAGAAGAAAAATTTCAGCCCTGATATAATTTAGCCAAGATTTTTCTTACAGTGATTTTGGGAGGCCATCATCGTTAGTATTCTGATGATACAACTGAAATATGGTTCCAAAGAATATATATATATATATGTATGTATATAGATGGTGTGCATGTCGGGGAGTGCCTTCATCAATCATGCTATTCTCGTGCCATCCGTTTCTGTTTTGCTATGGTTCTAAGTTATCTTTTGTGGGTCAAAAGTTTTGAACCGCAATAACTAATGATTGACTATGGGCTGTAGTACTACTCGATCTCACGGCCCTGAGTCGACCTTGCTGCACTCTAGCCTGGCAGGTTTTTCCAGTGGTATTCCAGATGGGTTGGTGTTCTGTTGGATGGTTCGTTCATCTCTTTTGGAGAACTCTGTAGTACAGATCGAACTGTGTAAGGACCAATGGCTTTACATGTTGCCGGATCACATTCGCCGCGTCATAACACTGCCCACAAATGTGATTAGTGTTTTTCGCGGAGAACACTTGCCAAATGGTTTTAACACTACACCCTCAAGCAATGCTGCCGCTAGTATACGATCTTTTATCCACCGAGCATAGGTTCACCTTGTCCACGTTTAGCTGGATATCGGTGGTCATTTCCGTATCCGCTTCCTGGGATGCTTTCGGTGGCATACGGCTTCGCTCTTCCTAGAAACAGTCGATTGGTACCATCGCATCACTGATGTGCAGATAATAATAGCTTTTTAACTTATCTAACTACCGGCTTCCTCAGGAACGCCGAATGTACTTGGAAAGAATAGTATTTGCATCAGTTGGCGTGTATCTTGCACTTTTTGTATTGGTGAGGAAAACGAAAGTGAAAGATCATAAAGACAAACAATATTTCCCATAAAATTTCTATTCTGATGGCTTCGTTACGTGTTTTTGCAACGGATTATTCTTAAAAATTAAAACAGTTGCACTGAAAAAAATTGGTACCTCATGACCACCTATAGGGTGAATTCATAAATCAATGTATCCAGATCCTGCTTGTATGACTTAATCAGTTCGATATTTTCCAACAACATTTAATTCCCTTAGTCGTTTGTTTGCATTAAACTTAGGACTATTGAATTTCCTGCTTTTCTTCCGCATCTTCCAGGGCAGATGTGGTCTCATAGTCTTCAGTATCATAATCTGATAAACATTATTCTCCACCGATTGAGTTATAGCCATATACGACCCTAAAAGATACACTTTTGAAGTGACCTAAGACACAGGACTCTTGGATATTCCATGAGTTTCCTCAGGCCTTATTGAAATCATCTAATCGATTTCGTCTTTCGCAAAAACAAAACTATTCGCTTGTATTGTTTTTTATAATCAATCCGATGTGCTTGAAAATTGTTTTCTTTTTTTACCTTTCTTAGCACAAACTGCTGGGGCGAAACAATTCACCGGGGGTGCCGTGCTGAGTGAGGAGCAAGCCGAACAGATTCGGTACCAAAAGGAGGTGGGTCCTTATTTGGTCCCCCATGAAAAGTTTAGGGTTCCGGTTATCGTGACTGTACAATGGGCCTTCATGACTATGGTTGATGTAACAGTTCTGATGTTTATCACTCAAGGATGCAAGATGATAGAGTGCCGAGTGAAAGTCTAATTAAATGTTCGGTGATCAAACAAGTAGTATATTCACTTTCTGTCCATGAGATCCCCTGTTGGTTCCTTGCTTAGGTCAATAGGTTCGCATTGTTGCTGAAACCCAACAAGTTTAGCAGTGGGTACGCGATGTTTTCTAGCATTTCATTTAATGTACTCTTTGCTCTATATACGGTGATTTTCATCATGTAGAAAATCATTAATTTCTTTTGCTCACCATTTCGACTTTACATTTTTCACAACGAGACCCATCTTTTTCTATCGCAAATCGATAAAACCTGATTAATTAGAACAGAACTCTGACTGTAAAACACTAGTTTGATGCATATGTTCGTAGTCCTCATTTGAACCAAACGGAGGGTTGCACGAGTGTTACTTAGTTTAAAAGATACATTTTCTTTTTTCATCTCATCTGATTTCTGATGTTTATTATTATATATGTATACTTATATTATTTAGGGCTTTAGCATACATAGCAACAAAGTAAAGCAGAATATAGTAAAACAGACAACATAAAAGAGGGAGGGGTAAAAGGACCAATAAATATCACCAGGGGAGGGAGAGACTAACATAAAGTTCTTTTTGTTGACACAGGGGGGGGGGCTTCCATAGATTAATCGCAATCGCTTCAGCAAACCTTAGCAATCT